GGTATCTTGCGTGGATTCGGGTGGCCGGGCAGGTGCCTTCCGCGCGAGCAATGAGGCGACTTCGGGCACGCTGGCTTGATTTGAAGGTTGCCTGGCGGCATGGCTGGCGACGGGATGGTGGCGAGACCAGTCGCCACAGGGGGTGGTTCAAGGGAAAGGGCGCAGTGGAGCGTGATGCACCGATTGTGGGCGCAGAGGGGCCGGATCCGGAGAAAAGGCCGAGGCATGCGTGCACACCTTCTTTCCCCGGGCATGGCCCAGCGAGCAGCGATGCGTGCTGACCTCCGGCTGGACGAGGCGTAAAGATGCCCCTGAAGCCAGTGTGCCATGCGTTGATTTGGACAAAGAAGTCGATCGAGAAATAATGGCCGGTTTAATAGTGTTGGATGATGCGGACCCAACAGCCAACACATGGGCCCCTGATTTGGTTGCCCTCCGTCGATCCTTGCTCGAAGCACGCTGACCGGTGTGTCTCGGTGTTCCCCGGCCGGGATGGCAGGGTATATCTTTCCGAGTGGGGCGCAAGCGCACGTAGCTTGTCCGTGCAAAACAGCCTCGGTTGCCCCTCTGCTCCGCTACTCTGCTGCTCCGCTGCTCCTGTCCATTCTCCTCTTCGGCTTCTCTTGCGCGCATTATCCTGCTGCTGACAGGCATTTGTGCATGCGGATTGCCTCGCCTGCCGGTCGAGCTTGTCCGAATCGCGGAACCGGGTTTTCTTCGAGGCGGGGCTTCCCCGGACGGCTGATTGACTTGGGTCCTTGAGCGGGGCGGCCATAACTTCGACGGCTTGACCGGGCTCTGTGGCCTCGCTGATGGCATCTCCGCTAACTCGCGGCCGGCGCATGGTATCGGCTTCGATTTTCCGATCTCTGACGCTCAGCCTATTTGCGAAGGGCTTGCCAATCGCCTGCAACATCCAGGGGCTCCTGTGTCTTCTCTCCTTCTCCCCATTGAACCTCGCTCTCTCCCTCAGTGTGTTTCCGCGTCAGCGTGTGTCTGCGCGCGTGCTCGCGCGCGCGCGCGCGCGCGGTATGGATGGGTGGGGAGTCAGTGAGAAGAGGCTCGAGCGAAGGCAGCTGGCCTGCCCTGCCAAGATCCCCGGCACAGCTCCTCGCGCTGGGCCAAATGCGGGGCCGCATGTGCGAGGCGATCTTTCCCCTTGGGCTTGAGCATGGTCGCCCGCAGTCACCTCTTACCGGCAGGCGCCCCTCCCTTGATGGGCATCGGTGGCCCATCAACCCGAAACCCGAGCCCCTTGGCGGGCTACTCCTGCCATGTCGGAACAAGAGCACCCTCCCCGGCTGGGAGGAAGGGCGAGCCCATGTGCCAGCAGGGGCAGAGGAGGGAACCATCACCGCGCCTGGGAGGGAATGGAGCGCCGAAAGGGGCAAGAAATCAGGCCTGGGGCTATGCTGGGGTCCTTGCGGGTGCACTTGCCTTTTTTTTTCACCTGACAGTGGCCATTGGGTCAATGCCGAACGCCCGCGCACAGGGGCGGCCGTTTCTGTGACCGCAGGTCCAGCCAGTGCTGCGCCTGCGGGCTGGGCCGTACCCTGGGCACTGCGGAGGGGCATGTGGCCCATGTGTGCGAGGAATCGAGAGGAAACCCCGGACCAGGGGCAGCGCTGTCACCCGGCGGGGCCGGGCAAAATGCAGGCCAAGGCTCCGGCACGGGCCGTGTCGTTGTCGAACCCCCAAGCGGCATGCGCCCCTTCGCGATCAAGTACAAGACAATGCCTTGTGGGGAAGGAGCGGCGGGAGGGGGGGGGGGGGGGGGGCAATGTACGAGGGCGCATTTCGCAAGGGCAGCCACACCGCGGCCGCGGCACTGCAGAGGCTTTTTCTTCCGCCGGATTGAAAGGTACCGGCGGAAACCGCGATTGCAGAGGACAAAGAGCTGCATTAAGTCGTGGTTCCTCCGAAAGTGCTTCACCCTTTACATCATGCTTACAAAATCAAGCCATTTATATCAAATTAATACCCCGGAGTCTGCATGCGCCAAGTGCGGCCCTCAGATGGGGCACTCACGCGGATGCGGGGGGGTTCCGGGCGGAGCTCGTCACAAAAGAGATGGGGGGGCACGACGATACAGCCACCAGGGGCAAAAGCAACATTGTTGGGGGCGATGGTTGTTTGCCTCAAAAGCGTTGCTCTTGAGCTCCTGGTGAATATCTCCTCATGCTCTTCTAATTGGCCATTGGGGCTGCGGGTTCTCTCGCCCCATGTCTATGCCTTCGGCAAGCAGGCTGGCTTCGATCTATGTGAGCCGGTCTCAATACTCGTCTGTTCGATGCTCTCTCGAGTGTTGATGTTTCTAGACGCAGGTAACCTGGCAAGGAGGCTCGTTCGCCTCGCTGGTGTGGCCGAGGTCTGCCGGATTGTCCTTGCATAAGCAGAGATTCGATGAATGTGACGTTGCCCGTGTACTACGGGCTTGCCCCTGGGGATGCGGCGGCTCCCTCGCGGTCTTCGTGAGTTGCGCCGGGTTTGAGGCCAGGTAGCTTTGCGATGATCGACCTCTTTCGGCCATGGTATGGCTTCGCATGGTGGGGGCTGATTAAGGGAGCAGGGGGGGGGGGGCTTTCCTCCGGCTGGCTTTCCGAACAGTCCCAGCGTGTTACGGCTGGCCCGCCGAAGTGGCACCGGCCTAAAGCACTTCACGGACTTTTCTTGTGGTCACCCCATAGGCTGGCCACGTCGACCAATACCCAATCCGGATCCTTGAATCGGTGCTGTGTTGTCCCGGACGCCGGAGTCGCAACCACTCGCTTGTGCGGCGCGTCGTTGCGTTCCCTCACCTCCGTCAGCATCTCGCCGCAAGTCTTCGGAGTCGTGGGGAGGACTCCCACGTCAGATAGATCAGGGATGCATCCGGCAATGTTGAACCCCGGGCTGTAGCCCAGAAAGGATGCCGGGACGCGGTTCATCGCAGCCGCAGCCGCAGCCTGGACGATAGCCTCCTGCGCATACTTCCGCCTGCCCCGGATCGTCAGCCGGGCTATTCGGATGCGCTGCAGTCGGATGCCAATCGCCCGTTCGGCGGCTCCGCTGGACATGGGATGGCTCGGAATCGAGATTCTGGGGACGTTGTCCCTGAGGGGCCAGCGGTCGGCCCCATTCCATCGTAGGGAACGTAGGGGCGCCGTCGGACTTCACTGCCTGTGGGAATTGTCCCCAGAGTGCAAGCAGAACGCGCCGTTGGCGGTGGAAGCCGGCGGCAGTCCATGACAGACGGCAGAGGCTGACCCGGGTGTGTCGGGAAAATTGATCCACGACCACCAAGAGAGGGCCTCGCACTTCAGGCCCTGCGGCAAAGCGGAGGGCACATCTAGCGACACCGCCTCCAGAGGTCGGTTGTCGGCGATGATCTCGGGCTCCCGGGGAGTGGCACGAGGCTTGTGATGTGAAGCCTCGAGTGCTTGGCAATGGAGGCATGTCCGGACGCATGCCGAGACTTGCAGCCGAAGGCTCCTGTCAACGAATCGGTCACATGCCAGCCTGGCTGTAGCCTTGCGACCCGGATGGTTGTACACCGGCGAGTGGCGAACGTGCTCCAACACTTCCGGGACCATGGCCTCCGAAAGGGAGATCCTATCCTTCACATGGCGGATGGCATTTCGATCCTCCAGTCGATGATCCGGCTTGTGGGCGACGTACGCCCTGGGCACGGCGATCGGGCGCCTCCGCCAGGTCGGGGAATCCATGCGCGTAATAGGGCCAAACCCGGCTCGACTGCCTTGCCGGGCGGTCCACCGGAGATGCGGGGGGTGGAAAAGGTGCGGCGGGATGGCGGAAGGCCCTTCATTGGCCAGCGACGCTTCCCGCAGTCGTGGGAGTCCGTTGGTCACCACGTTCGGCACGCCGGGCTGGTGAGCAATATGCACGTTTTGGAATGTAACTAGCCCCCAGCCCCAAGGCCGCACGCGGTGCTTCGAGTTCCGGCTGGACAGCCCAACGAAGGAGCGGCCAATGCTCGCGTCAGCGGCTTGCCATTCTCCACCTTGTGTCGCCATTGGCACAGGGCGCGGACAAGGGCGAGAAACGCCCTTTCGAGGGGCTGCAGTTGCGCCCGGCCGCGATGGCCTTCCGACGCCAATATGCCACCGGCTTCAGCAGGGTGTAGGCCCCGGGAGTCCCGGCTGCCCTTTCGGCTCCGGCAAAAGGACGGCCCCCGCGCCATCGTCCGAGGTGCCCGTGGCAGTGAGAGGGGGCTCCTCCACCTCGGGCAAAGCGAGGACCGGTGCGAATGCCCCACCAGCTTCATGGCTTCCTCGAGAGGCCTTTCGAGCTTCCTCCGCCCAGGCAATCCGGTTGCTGGCTCGAGGAGACTTGCCGACGAACAGGTCATTCCGGGAGGAGCCCGCTCGGCGACTGCCTGCGGTGGCCACCTCGCGACGCAGTTCAACGCCCCCAAGAGCGAGCAAAGTGGACGGATGGTGGCGGGTTTGTCACATTCGCTCAAGGTGGCCACAGGATCTGGAGTCAAATCCACCACTCCGCCTCCCAGGCGGTAAAAACTTCACAATCCAGACCGTGAAGAAACACTTCCCAGCGCGGATGCATGCACCCGCCGCGGCGAAGAGCCCCAGCACCGTACGTACATGCTGGATGTGCTCCTCTTGCGGCTCACAGAAAAGATCAAACTGTCGTCGAGGTGCCAGATCGCAAGCGTGTGCGCCGGCGCCATGATGTTGTCCACCGCCGCGTTGAAGTGATGCGACGCATTACAGTGGCCAAGCAGCATCCAATTGAAGGGACCATACCTCTTGTTGGTGAGGAAGATCCGCAAGGGCCAATCCCCGGGGTGGGCTTCGATATGATGATAAGCCTCGGCCAGGTCCAGCGAGGTGAAGAGCTCCCCCTTGCCGGCCTTCGACAGAGCCTCATCGATCACCATCAGAGGCAGACTAGATGCCTCCGCCAGGGCATTGAGCCCCTGGAGGTCCACGCACCACCGTGTCTTCTTCCCGAGCACTCGGACTCCCACCAGCCACGCGGCGTACTTGTCAACGCGGGCCTCCGAGACGAGTCCTGGCCTGAGTGCGGCCTGCACCCACTCTTCGATTGGGGCCTGCTCCACCGGCGTGAACCGGCGGTTGTGGAAGGGCGGCAGCGAAACATCCGGTCTCAGCTTGATCCGGATTGGAGCGACACCCTGGAACTTGGGTAGCCGACCCGGCGCCGCCCGAAACTTCTCCAGAGACTTCTCCCAGGATGGGTGAGTGAAGCCCCCTCTCTCTCTCTCTCTCTCTCTTGCTTACGAGCTCGCATCTCGTCGACTTCCTCGGCCGTCCGCAGTAGGACGGCGTACGAAGCCTCCGGGGGCCCCGACCATGCGTCGGGCGCCAGAAGGTGGTAGGCTTCGAAGAAACCTCGCCGGTCCACCACGACCAACGTTCGGGCCACACTTCCCGCATAGTATGCAGTCCCGGGAAAGGCTCTTCGCCATAACTGCCCAAAACTACGACCTCGGCGCGAGAAGTCTTCCCTCCGCGATGGACGGTCAGCAGCACCTCACCCAACGCAGTGATCTGCGCACTGTCTGCCAGTTTGACCATAACCGGCTCCTTCTCGTAGACCAACTCGAACTCGCGCACCAAACTGTTCGGGACGGCATTCAGTCCCAGGGCCCCGGAATCGTATCTCGGACGGAAGATGGTATCTCCACATTCCTCGAAACAAAGGTCATACCCTTCGCCCTGGACCGGAACGCTCATGGCGCACAGTTTCCCATGCACCTCCCGTTCCCGAATGATGGTTCCCTCGGACTGCTTCTCCGGAGCGCGCCGGCCGACCGGACGGTCTTCCGACGCCTCTTGACTCATCTACACCAACGGCGTAGAGTCAAAGAGACGGAGAGGGGTGGGCATATTGCAAGAGCCACCTGGGGGCTATACCCCTAGACGAGGCCCTGCGTGAGTCGGTGGGAGATCCACCAGCAGGGGGCCTCTTGGAACCCCAGCTGAACTTTCCCTTGGTCGCTTGGCCAAGTCGACCGTGGCCTCCACGATAGCTAGAGCCATTGCGGACCTCACCCGGAGCCCTTTGACCGAGGGTGTCCGACTTCGAGTCGGGCAAGTTGGAAGAGCAGTGAGGGCGTACTTTCTGACGCTTGGATGGGACAGGGACGATCGTGGTCGTCTCCCTGGTACGCTTGTGGGGCAGGAAATGGTCGCGATACTCATCCGCTCGCAGGGGCCACTCGTGCGGCCAAGCCCAATGTCCCCGGGGCGGGCGCTTGCCGAGGTCGAGCGGTACGACCGGCGGGTACACGACCTTGCGTGGATGAGCCTAGTTGATGATCTTCGGGGTTTGATTTGTGGCTCGGGGACGCTCGGAAGCCATACCTCGAGAGCATTGAAAAGCGAGGCGACCAACATCAGGCCAATCAAACCCGAGCCCTGGCTCCTTGAAGCAACGATAGATCAGGACGATCTGTTGGCCCAAAGAAGCACAATCCTTGCAGCTGTAGAGCACACAAGCCATGAGAGGAGGGTCACCCGATAATCATCGGGGATGTAGCCGAGCTTCTCTGCCAGACTGGGGCTCAAGGTCGCTCCGTTGGCAGTCCAAATCCCAAGGGCAGGCCGGTTGAATGTGCTCGAAGAGCGCTTTCGTCGGCCGTGCCGGCGGAGAATTATCCAGGCAATATAGAACTGCCTCCCGGGTCTGTAGAGCCATGCGGAACGGTCCTCCACCCTTGGACCAGAGAGACCAGCCCTCGGCCGAAAAGTTTGGTTTGGTCCTTGCGTCGCACCTCCACCTTGGCCATCATCTGACGCACTGTCCACGGCGGCGCAGTGGAGAAGGTAGCCGGCGGGCGGTCCTTGCTCGACCGTTCCCCACGGTCTCCCAACTCCTCCGGCGGGGGAGGGGAACGTCCCTCCCGGGAACCATGGTACTCCTTCAGGCAGGAGACGGCGGTGTCCTCGTCAATAGGTGTGAAGGACGTGTAGTCCTCTCCGCCCATGTCGACCATGGCAACCGGCAATGTCACTCCCATCTCCTTGCGGGTAGTCTCTCTGCTTTTGAAGGGCGGAGTATTGCTCCCACCACAGGGAGTTCAGAAGGTACAGGCAGGAGCCCGGCTCTCCGGCTGCCTCAACAAGGGATTGGAACTTCTGGGCAATATAATCCGGGGCGGCAATCCTTGTCTTGTTCACCGGGGGCACACGTTGAGCCAAGCCCTCCACGAAGACCGTCACCTTTTGGGGTCCCTGTGGGTCAGAAGCATACTCGGTCCTGAACCATTTCTCAAACGCCCCGTAATAGTTGGTTCCCTGGGCCTCAGGCAGGAACACCGGGTCTTCGAGCGTTGTGGCGCGGTGGGTTTTCGCCTTCCTTCTTGATAGGTCGGACTTGTGAATGTCGAACGTCGCTTCAGTCAGCATGCGGAAGGGGATGGATACAGGATACGCAAGGATAAAGGTGGCAGGAGTCCGACAGTGGGTGACTGGGGGCCTGCCACATCACTTGGTGCTCGGGTGCCTGATGGGGGATTCCATCGCGAGAAGCGCTACCAGAGGCCGGCGGTACGACGCAGGTCTCTCGGCGGGGAGGCACCGCCCTCGCTCTGGCCTACACACGTCCAATGGCCGTAAATAGCGATGAGTCCTGGTCTGGGCCCGAGCGTCGATCCGCTCGCCGGCGGTGAAGCCGTGGCTCGGTGGTGCGTGAGTGGGTTTGACGTCCTACCGGTCTCCTGAGGCGCCGCTCGAAGGGCGACTCGGGATCCAAACCTCACCACCATGGCGGTGAGATTGCCTCCGGAGAGCAAGGCAAAAGCCAAGCAGCGATAAGCAGGGTTCTCACGGATCCAGCCTCACGTCAAAGGAGTGAGGCTTTGGACGGAAGCCAAACCGGAAATCTTACTGCTGCTTGGGGACCACTCGAGGCATGAAGGGGGGCATACCTTGCCAAGGGGGGGGAGGGGGGGGGGGGG